CGGATTACTTTGAGGTCGTCTTGATGGTACGTTTCCTATTCGCCATTGTCGATCCCGCTGATGAAAAGTAGGTCGACGCCGATACTCGAGTCTATCCCGATTCGCTCAAACACCTCGTCAACTGCATGCACCACGACAACATGATCATGGGCGTCTGCGGCGAGACGCGTATCGCCAACAAACGACAATCCTGGGTCACCGCCATCCAAGTTTTCGAATACTTTATCTCCCACCACCTCGTCAAAGCTTTCGAATCCGTTTTTGGAGGTGTGACTTGTCTGCCGGGGTGCTTTTCGATGTACCGGATCAAAGCAAGGAGGGACGAGGATAACGACTGGGTGCCGATTTTGGTCAAGCCCGAGATCGTGAACGAATACTCGCAATGCGAAGTCGAAACTCTCCACGAAAAGAACCTCCTGCTCCTCGGCGAAGATCGTTTCCTCTCCACCATCATGCTCCGCACCTTTCCCCGGCGGAAAAACATTTTCCTACCCCAAGCTCGCTGCCGCACCGTCGCCCCCGATACCTTTTCCGTCCTCCTTTCACAACGTCGGCGATGGATCAACTCGACCGTCCACAATCTGATGGAGCTAGTACGCGTGAGGAACCTGTGCGGGACGTTTTGCTTTTCGATGCAATTCGTCATCTTCATGGACCTCGTCGGTACTGTCGTCTTGCCCGTCGCCATCTGCCTTACGATAGCGCTCATCGTCAATTCGATCATCACCCCGCCAAAGAGTTTCGAAGAGGCGATCCCGCTGTTGTTGTTGGCGGTTGTATTGGGTCTGCCGGCGATTTTGATCTTGATCACGACGAGAAAGGTGATTTATGTGGCTTGGATGTTGGTGTATCTGCTGGCGCTGCCGATTTGGAATTTCGTCTTGCCCGTCTACTCGTTCTGGCATTTCGACGACTTTTCTTGGGGTGAAACTCGGTCCGCCCTTTCTTACTCTATCTCGAGGTTGAACTGACGCTTTGAGTAGTAAAGTCGAAGGCGAAACGGTCGGCAAAGGCCACGACGACAGCACCGCCGTATTCATGGGCACCACCATCCCCCTCCGTCGCTGGGAAGACTGGGAGAAATCGCGTCTCCGAAAGATCCGCCGAGAAGAGAAACGTCGCAGAGATATGGAACGGCAATTCGGCGCAGGCTTCCACGGCGATCCGAAATCGCCCAACGGTGGCGGAGGAGGGCTTGGGGCGAATCTGGGTGTGGGAGGGCCGAAGGCGTGGACGAGGAGCGAGTATGATAGCGATAGCGGGAGTGTGTTTAGTAGTGAGGAAGATATGTGGGGAGGGGAAGTTGGAGGGGTATGTCGTCGCTTTCTTTTTCTCGGGAGGAGATACTGACTCTGCGCGTAGTATAACGAGAACAACCCGTCTTTCCCCCCACCGCCTATCGCCCTTCCTCCCAATAGCCCAGCTGCCGGTCCCGGCGAGACGATCGGCATGGACGAAATGGCCGCCATGCTCGACTCTGGCTTTGACGACACCGCCGCCCCTCCCCCTCGTACCCTCCGCCCTCTCAAAAACCCCACCTCCCCTCTCCACCGCCACCAACACGACTTCAACACTCCTCCCGCTGCTCAACTGCGATTCAACCTTTCCGACACGCAGCCTGGGTCGTATGTCTCGATAGACAGGCAAGGCGAGGAAGGGGATGGGCAGATGCCGGTCAGTGAGGGGAGTGTGAGCTCGAGTGTGGAGAGTCGGCCTCAAGGAGGAGGGCATGCGAAGAAGAGGAGCGGAGGTGCTGGGAAGGGGTATGGGCCGTTGGGGCCGTTGGACGAGAGGAGCTACCCCGGAGGTAGGGGGAGATAGAGGACGCGCATGGGATTCAAGGGAGAGGAAGCCGATATACGAGGTCTTCAGTAATACATCTTTGTTTCATAGCCAGCTTAGAGCTCTTGTCATTCTTTTTCTACTTTATCGTCTCCCTTTTTCGACTTTTCTAGCATTAACATATACATAGAGGTTTGTGTGGTATACGATTTCTTTTCTTCATCATGTGTAGGCATTGTTTTGTGGTACACGTAGTCCAACCATGGCATACATCATCTGCATCTCTTCTGGGCTATCACTTCTAGGTCATCATCGAGCAACAGTACAAGTGTTGATAGGGGGCAACAGCGTGATACGATAGAGAGGAGACAAGCCGACAAACATGCTCTCGGCGCTCCGAGGGATGTGGTGCGGGCTGATAAGGCGGCGTTGAGGAGAGATCGTATGCGAGCCTTGGCAAGCGCTCTGGATAGGATGGTGTCATGTAAGGGATATACGTGCGAGCATCACGCTATATAGACTTATCTCGGCATCTAGGGGGAGTAATAGACCGAAGAAGGAGAAGTGCGTGATGATGGCACCATATCTCGGCTATCCCCGACTGCCATTCTCGCCGTGACTCATATATCAGCCTTTGCTATGGCAGCGCATTAAGCCGCCCTCGTTCGCACACTATCCCACCATGGCTAAAGGCGCCATCTTCCTCCCCACCACCACCCCCGCTACCGCCCAGCCCAGGGCAAAAGCCGCGAAATGGCCTCTCCTCCTCACATTCACCATCCTCGCCTCCCTCCTCCTTACCTCCGGCCCCTTCTCGTCCACAGCCATCCTCAAGACGCTCAAAGTGTCCAATTCAGAGCCTGCGAGGAGAGAGGATCTATGCAAGCAGGCAGAGCCGACTGTGCCGAAGGGATACAACACCTCGGTCGTTCTGGAGGATCGCGAAAAGATCATCGACAGACTCATCGGAGCTGTGAGTAGCCAGTCTTCTCTTCTTGGTATCGCTATACTGACTCCTTGTTAGGTGAAAATCGGTACAGAGACTTTTGACGACCTCGGCAAGTATGGCGAGGATGCTCGATGGAACGGCTTTCCCAAATTGCACAAGTGTACGTTTCTCTTACGCCTTGTCCATTCCCCTGTTGATAAAAGCTCTAGACCTAGAAGAGCAATTCCCTCTCGTACACAGCAAGCTTCTCGTGACCAAGCCCGACCCCGGCCTCGCTCTCATCTACGAGTGGAAAGGCTCGGACGAAGATCTGAAGCCCGTCCTTATCACCGCCCATCAAGGTACGCCTTCCTCCCTTTCTCTTCGTCGAACAGTACTGATACCGAAACTCAGATACTGTACCCGTGCTTCCTGCTTCCCTCGACCAATGGCTCCACCCTCCCTTCTCGGGCCATTTCGACGGCGAGTTCATCTGGGGTCGAGGCGCTACCGATACCAAGTCCAGCCTTATCGCCATCCTCAGCACTCTCGAGCACCTCCTCGAGGTGGGATTCAAGCCCGAGAGGACGATCATCGTTGGATTTGGAAATGACGAAGAGGTCGGAGGACCTTATGGCGCGGTGTTGATTAGCAAATACATTGGAGAGAAGTACGGTAAAGATTCGCTCGCCATGTACGTCCCTCTCCCTCTTTCCCCGCGCGTACTGACAGCGATATAGCCTCATCGACGAAGGCAACGGACTCATCTCATCCTACGGCCAAAACTTTGCCACCCCCGCCGTCACCGAGAAAGGCAGCACCAACATCCAACTCACCGTCAAAACCCTTGGCGGCCACTCTTCCGTCCCTCCCCCCCACACCGCCATCGGCCTTCTCTCCCTCGCCATCGCCGAGATCGAAGCGCACCCTCACGAGCTGTCTCTCCCCACTTACTCGGCTATATATGGATTTTTGGAGTGTGCAGCGGGACATGCTGGGGATTTGCCGGATGGCTTCCGAAAGTCGGTGTTGCGAGCTGCTGGGGGCGATGAGAAGGCTTTAAAGAGTTTGCCGGAAGAGTTTGTCGAAGTGGGCTTTGATGGTGTCCCCGCTGGTCCCGGGCAGGGTAACGTTCTTCGTGCTTTACTGGGTACGACACAGGCTACCGATATTATTAACGGCGGCGTCAAAGTCAACGCTCTTGTACATTCTCATTTCCCTTCTTCGTACTCGAAGCTGATATCAATCATAGCCCGAAGTCGTCTCCGCCAAGATTAACCACCGTATCAACATCGACTCCAACTCTTCCGCCGTCACCTCCCGCCTCCTACACCTCCTCACTCCTCTCGCCCAAACATACAACCTCTCCCTCTCCCTCAACTCTTCTTCTTCCTCCACCTCTCCCCTCAAGCCTGTTGTGAAAGGCGGTGCTGGCGAGATCATCCTCGACGACGGAGGGCGTATCGGCGAAGCCGCCCCCATCTCGCCCTTCGACATCAACAACGGCGTCTGGGACGTGTTCGCCGGGACTGCGAGGGGTGTATGGGCTTCGAGGAAGGAAGTGAGCGAGGATGGGTCGGTTGTAGAGCTCGGGGCTGGGGATGATCTTGTGGTTACGCCTTTCTTGCCCCTTGGCGTGGGTACTTCCTCTTTACACGGGTGTGGCGGAAGCTGATGAAGAGGTAGAATACCGATACGCGACATTATTGGGACTACACCGAAAACATCTACAGGTTCATCTACCGTCCATCGGGCGGCGCTTTGGGGGCTCATACTATCAACGAGCGAGTTGTACGTCATCTTCTTCTTCTTCCCCTCTTCGCACCCCATTCCGCCTTCCCCGCTCCCTTTCGTTCGTATTGAATAAAGAGCTCACTTGACGTTGTTGATAGAACGCCAACGATCTCGTCGAACTTGTGCGATTCTATACAACGCTCTTGCTCAACTTTGATGCTGCCAAGGACGTTGCGAGAAAGTAGACTGATCGAGTGAATCCGGGCGGGCCTCGGGTGGTGAACAAATGGTATAGACGGTTTCGTGATATTATAGATGGTTGACGTGTTATATAGTACAGAAAACAGAAATATGAAGACATTGGCACGAGAGAGAAGGATATGGCTGTGCTTCGTTGCATTGCTACTCGTGGAATCGGAACAAAGATTATCTTGATCACACAAACGACGCAGGTAGTTATCAGGCATCTAACACATGGCATTCATATACACAGACACGTTATAAGTCTACCAATGCTTTATAATACAGTGTCCATGTTCGACGCGTCTACAAAGATCTACAATGCATTATGTCTTCGTCGATTGTCACCTGCGAAGCTAGAGGGAGGACCGGAGCCTACGATGAAAAGTTGATTGTCAGTAATGATTCGCGAGATGGCTGACTGCTACTCACCTTCCCAAACAGAGCTTGAAGCTGCTTCGCTTGTAGTAGATGAAGCCGCACTATCATCAGAGGAAGTAGCAGACGTCTCGGCAGGGAGACTGCTCGAGTCCATTTCGGAAGAGGTGCTTCCTGCGGCGACATCTGACGTAGCTTCGGACGTGCTTGCAGAGTCTGTAACACTCGCAGAGTCTGTGGCACTAGCAGAGCTATCGGTAGCAGTGCCACACCCATCGGCGGTGATCCAAGTAGTGGACGTCATGGTGGTGGTAGTTGCAGTCTCGCGCTTGTAGTATCTCGAGAAGCCGGTGGGGAGATCACGTTCGGCAACGGTTCGAGTGCCCCCCGCGACCATGTTGAAATTTCGCTTCTCATCGTCAGATGCGCTTGCCTTGTCGTGAGCCATGTTAAAGTTTCTCTTGACCCCAGACGAAGAGTGGTCGCCTTGCACCATATTGACATTTCGCTTTTCGTTCGAAGACGAATCGGAATGATCACCCTGAACCATGTTGACGTTTCGCTTCTCTTTCGTGGTTGTATCAACGCCCTGGACCATGTTGAAGTTTCGCTTGTGGTTTTCAGAACCACCAACGTTGGCACCTCGGACGATACCCTCGTACTGACGCTTTCGGTTGTCGGATTCGAAACCAGCAGGGGCGGTGTTTCGAGGCTCAAATCGCTTTCTGTTATCGCCCGAGAATCCGGCAGTGTTACCTGTATAACGTTAGCATCTGATATGATATGTAGCATGGAGAGACTTACCTTCCCAAGCATAAGAAGAAGACGCGACACCACCATCCGTGCTAGTCGCAGCCTCGCTGGTCTCTCCGCTGCAATCACAATCACCTCGCCGCATGACACCCCTCTTCGATCTACGACGTCTCGAGTCGGCAGAGAATCCGGCAGGAGCGGTATTACCTTCCCAAGCAGACGATGTTTCGGCACCAGCATCGCCATTCTCACCACCGCAATCGCATGAAGTGTCGCTAGACGTTGGGGTGGAAGCGTCGCTCGTGGTGGGAGTATCAGAAGTGGTGGGAGTATCGGAGGTGGTGGGTGTCTCGGAAGCAGAGCCACAATCGCACCCATCTCGACGCATGATACCTCGGCGTCTTCGGCTATCGGCCGAGAAGCCTGCAGGGGCTGTATTACCTTCCCAATTTGATGATGTTGAAGCACCAGCGTCGCTCGTTTCGCCACCACAGTCACATGCGGTATCGCTTGAAGTAGGTGCTGCGGCTTCGCTGGTTGTAGGTGTATCGGAAGTAGTTGGAGCATCGGATGTGGTGGGGGTATCGGTGGCAGAAGAGCAATCACAATCTCCTCGGCGCATAATACCTCGTCTCCTTCGGCTGTCGGCAGAGAATCCAGCAGGCGCAGTATTCCCCTCCCAGTTGGATGACGTTGCCGCGCCAGCATCACTGGTCTCACCGCCACAATCGCAAGCAGTCTCGGATGTCGTGGGCATAGCAGCCTCGGATGTAGTGGGGGTATCGGTAGTGGTAGGAGCCTCACTGGTGGAAGGAACAGCTTCAGAAGTGGAGGTGGGACAGTCGCAAACGCCTCGCCTCATCACGCCCCTCTTTCGCTTTCGCGAATCAGCCGAGAACCCAGCAGGAGCGGTGTTACCTTCCCAGTTGGACGAAGTCTCAGCACCAGCTGCGCTCGTCTCTCCCGTCTCTCCGCAATCACAAGCTTCTTCACTCGTAGTGGCAGGAGCAGATGTCGTGGTAGTAGGCGGCGCTGACGTCGTGCTAGGGGCAGCAGACGTGCTAGAGGCACAGTCGCAAGCTCCTCGGCGCATAATCCCTCGACGACGCCTCGAGTCGGCAGAGAACCCTGCGGGGGGAGTATTGCCTTCCCAGTTTGAAGATGTCGCAGCTGCAGCATCGCTAGTCTCACCAGAGTCATCGCCACAATCGCAAGCTTCCTCGCTTGTAGTGGGAGTGGCGGCATCAGAAGTAGAGCTACCGCAGGGAGTGGTGGTGGTACTCGTGATCCATGATGTCTCTGTAACGACACCGGGCTGAGCGGAGGTGGCGGCGCAAGACGATGCGTCCGAGCTGCTCGCACATGAAGAAGTGGCAGAGGCAGCGGCGGTTGTAGAGGGCGTATAAGCGGGAGGCGTATAGGCAGAATCGGTCACTTGAGTGGAAGTATCGGGAGCATCGGTTGTGGGCACACTACCGTAAGAGCAGGTGGTACCGGCAGCAGCACAGCTAGAGGATAGGGATGTACAGACGGCGGGCGTTGTTTGACCGGATGTAAAGGGCATGCAACATGATTTGAAGTCGTCTTCGCTTTGATCTAAACCGGCGCACTATAGCTTTGTCAGCTACGATTATCATAATGAGGCTTAAAGAGGAGCTTACACCAGTGTTACAATATCGATAGTAGTAGTCGTAGGGGCTCTCGAGATACACATAATACCAGCAGGCTCTCGCAAGCCCGAGAACGACGAGCGAGATGATGAGTTTGGAGATGGGAAGACCACGTAGCATGGTGGAGATGGCGTTATACAGCGTACGCGATGCGTTTAGGTCTTTTTGAACGCCCTGATGAGGGTTTGGTGTTGCTAAAGAGGGTGAGGTCGAGGTCGATACTGCGTCGGGTTGACGCTTTGTGAGTGGGGGGTCTGCGCAGATGGAGATGAACAACGAGAAAGGTCAAAGACACGGTACAGCTGGCTATTGGATGGCATCACGTCGTCCTCCACCTTTGTCCTCTCTAGCATATTGAGTCCGAAAGGAGAGGGTGCCGAAAACGGGGGTCGATCACAAGGGAGTGGAAAGGACTGTCGCGAAGAGAGAAATTGGTGTCGTCCTTTGAGGTAAAGGGATAGAGCTCCTATAGCCTGTGTCTCGAATGAAGAGCTTGTGAAAGGTTATTCTCGGTTTGAATCATCAACTCGGTGATGAGGAAAGGTTTTCATAGTACTACCCTGACCTCGCGACGTTCATCGTTCAACATTCTATTGCCAGGCCCTCGATGCAGCATTGATATCTGTACCAGTCGGAATGCAGGACTGTACATGATGTATCGTCTTTGTACTATATGTAATGCAGTACAGCCTTTCATGATGTTCCATATACAACTTCGAGATAAGCGAGATAGCTCGATCCCGCGCGCTGACCCTCACATCAAACCGCATCAAACCCCCTCCCCAGCCCCGACACTCTCCAAAACCCCTCTCACAATCTCCCAGTCCACATCTCCCTCACCCTCGATCCCAGTCCTCCAATTACTAACAGCCAACCTCACCGCCCCTTGCCCCCTCCAAACCGTCTTGCTAACATACATCTTACGCGTCCCGTTGATCTTGGCTCTCAAAGTCGGCGCGGGGAGGGAATTGTGGGTGAAGAGTACTATGTTGGATGGGATGATTGTCTGGGAGGAGGATGAATGGGTGGTGTTGAGTAAGGTATAATGGGGGGAGGCGTTGATGTATTCGGCGACTTTACGGGCAAAGAGGATGTTTCGGGTGATAATCTCTACATTCGATTGATCAGAGACGAATCCCATCAATGGGAATGATGAGAGATTAACGTACCTTCATACCCATCCCTCCCCAAGCTCATCAAACTAGCCAACAAAGGCAAAGCCCTAAACCTTCGCGAGTTTTCGATACCCACAAATAGCGGACTTGGGATATCCCCACCTGTGACTGTTCCCGCCATCAAAGCGTCTCCTTCCTGGTTTGAAGTAGACGCTTGACCGGAGAGGTAGGCTGGAGCAGATGAGGAGGGTGGTTGGAAGACGGATGTGAGAGAGGAAGTGTGGCGTGTGTAAAAGAGACCAGCGTCGTATGGGGCTTGGAGCCATTTATGTGCTGAGGTATATGTCAGCGTGGAGATAATGGCGATGGATGGGGGAGGGATAAGGACGTACCGTCGAGTGTAAGAGAGTCGGCTTGATCCATGGCTTGGGTGAATTTGTGAAGTTCTGGCATAAGGCCCGCGAATCCGCCGAATGCTAAACAATGTCATCAGCGTATAGCTAGCCATGGGGAGGAAGGAGAGCGTACCAGCATCAACATGGAGCCAAGCACCATACTTCCTGCAGAGCCTTGCTACACCACCCAGATCACCTCCGAAAGCGCCGGTATTGACTTCTCCAACGCCGTAAACCACAATCACCCCCTTCTCTCCGGGTACACTCTCAACCTTCAGCCTCTCTTCTAGCTTTTCCAAGTCAAACGCAACCTCATCCCCTCCTTGAGCTGGCACCGACTGGATGACAGAAGGTCCACCGCCGAGACCGATAAAGGAGGCGGCTTTGGAGATTGAAAAGTGGGGGTGGAGGGCGAGGATCTTGATTGGGAAGGGTATGGGAGGGGGACCGTCTTGGGAGAAAGAGTAGTTTGGAGGAAGGGTGGAGGAAGTAGAGTAGAGGTGGTTCCTTGCGCAGGCTACTGATTGTTAGCATTTGTCCTGGAGCTGTGCTAGCTTGACAGACCGAGCCCGAGCATATTTGAGGCTGTTGCACCAGTGGTAATAGTTCTCCCCATAAACGAGTCTCTCTCAATCTGAAGAAGATCCAGTACGAGCTCTAGCACTCTCTGCTCAATAGCTACGCTCGCCGTCTCTTCACTGAGATTGACTTGGACATTTTCATCGTAACTCGTCGCGAGTATATCGGCCAGTTGCGCAGCGGGGGTGACGCCACCGATGACGAAACCAAAGTACCTCGGTCCATTCTGAGCTTGGAGGATACCGGGGAGGATGTTCTCGAGGAGGTGGGTGATGGTGGAGGAAGTGCCGAGACCGTTGTCGGGGAGGGATGCCGGGAGAGAGCGGAGGGTGGCTGTGATGTCGGCGGGGGTGGGGAGAGTGGGGAGGGAGTGGAGGGAGGCGTCGCGGTTCGAGATGTGGGCGAGGACGGTTTGGAGGCTGTCGCTGAATTCTCGGTCGCTCATGATGGATAGTTGATGAAGATAAGAGATAACGCAGATAAGAGATGCTTCTTTCGTTGCCCCGGGGATCCGACCAATGCGGCGAGGTCCGCCCATAGATCCGAGATCTCGGAGCTGAACCAGTCGTGCTGTTTGTCTTCAATCTTCCTTTCCGAATATCCTCCTACAGCTGTCCATCGCAGTTGGTCTCAGATGGAAGCCCCCGACATGCCTGTAATATCATCCGACCATGTACATCCGAGCAAAGGCGCTGCCGAACCGGCCATCAAGAAATCACGAAAAGGCAATCGGTTTCAGCCCATTGTCAGTTGCTTGGAATGTCGTAGTGAGTCGCCTTCATAAGCTGTATACTATGATCAGCCTCGGGAAAATACTGATCGTTCTGGCCCAGGGATGAAGTGGAAGTGAGGACTGGCTTCTTCGGCTTCTTACGCGTTGTGCTGATCCCGAGGAACAGATGCGATAGGAACTTTCCATGTAACAACTGCAAAAAGCGAGGGCTGGAATCGTGAGCCTAAGCTCCTGATATGTTGAAATGTACTAACGAGCTATAGTATGTGCCCCAATGGACAGCTCAGTGGAGCGAAGAGTACGTCGTTTCCTTCCATGTCGTTCAACTGATGCAATTATCTGCCATAGGCGATCGTCAACAAGTGGTCGAAATGCAGACCCGTATCGACGAGCTTGAGCGTGAGCTCCATCTTGTTCGCCAGGCGATACCGACTTCCTCCACCAATCCACCTCATTCTCACCCTCCGGACATCCCTACTCCCCTCCTTCCCACCTCTGCAGTACCTTCGACAAGTGCCGCCACACGAATTTCGCCCGAGGGACTGGAGGATGGAGCAAAAGGCGCAGGGAAAAGAGCGGATCATGGGCAGTTGACGCTGGGCGAGACTCCGGGTATCTCGAGGTTCTTCGGAGGCGCTGGGACGCAGTATTTGATGGTGAGTTCAAGTCTCTTATCTGTCGAGGCCGTGCATTGATATGATACAGCATTCCGAAGGCCACTCTAGTCCCATCTCTGCTACCGTGCCATCCCCCAGCCTTACCATGCTATCATCTTTCCTCCCCGGCGCGTCAAAGCAGCTATCTCTTGACCAGATACAGAGCTACCTCCCAGATGCGATTACCACCGCTCACTTGTCCGGCATCTTCTTCGAGGCGGGTCTTGTCGAACCTGTATCGAAACGGGTGCTGACGCGGTGGTATAGCATGGTTGTGTGAACTACGACATCATCCGAAGCGACAGCTTTGAACAGATATACCTCGCAATCTCCAACACCTCTTCCTCCTCTGCCCCCATCGCAAGCGCTCGCACCTCGAAAGGGGATGAAAATAACCAGCACCTCGCCCTAGTTCTACTCGTCCTAGCCGTAGGCGCCCAGATGGATACAGCTCTCCCACCATACAACGAAGTCGGGGAAGGGCTATATCATCTCGGATGTATCGCCCTCGCGCATGGTACGTTACGTTCTGAACGCAACGGCTAGGAACCTGATCGTGCGACAGATGTATCGAGTAGTATAACGCTAGTCCAAGCTATCATCACCATGAGTCGATACGAAAGCAACTCGGGACGGACTGTGGCCTATGAAGCGTTTTGGCCGATTTTGGGGCTAGGGATAAGGTGTGCTCAGCAGGTGCGTATTTCCCCTCCCCTCTCACCTCTCGCTTGTTCCTCTTTCTCCCTCAGCTGACAAAAGTGAGAAGATTGGGCTTCATAGAGATGGCAAGAACTGGGCATTGTCAGACGACGAAGTAGAGCTTCGAAGAAGAGTATATTGGGAGATGTATCAGGAGGATACGTTGCAGAGTATGTCACAAGGACGACCGAGGGGTAAGTCTTTTTACAAACACAAGGGGTGTCGCAGTTTATTTGCTGATGTTTGATCAAGGGACCAACGAATCCACTGTAGATGTCGTCTTTCCAACGCTCGATCCGAGTAGTATGACATCAAAATGTGAGTGAACCGTCCCGGGACTACGACTTATGGCTTCGCGCTGACTTCTCTGATGGGGTACAGTTTCAAGATTCAAGGCACGCTGTCCCTCTCAATCACATCATCAATCGCCCAGTGCTGACGCAATTGATAGTACCGCGTCTCTCTCATATTCGCCAGAATCAACTCGCTATTCAGCGAGGTCAAATCAGTCTCTTTCGACCTAGTACTTGCGCTCGACAAAGCCACTCGAAGCCGTAAGTAGGCCCTGCGTTTGAGACACGTGCACGGGCTGACGCGATGTATCAGTCGAATCGAAACTACCGCCCGAGCTGGTATCTGGCAGCAATCTACCTGCACATCAAGCCACTCGACGGTCACATTTCCAACAACTCCTTCTGCGGCTCTATCTTAACGAAGCGCAAGTCGTCGCTCCATCTATTCTCATTTTGGAGACTAATGCTGACGCTACCAATATAGCATCGTGTTTGTACATCGCAGCTACTTTGCGCGCGTGCTTCGCGAGTGTCAAGCCGAACCTTTAACGTCTCCCTACAGGTATGCCACCCGTCCATCATTCTCGGTTGGTAGCTGATGCTACACGCAGCTTCAGCTACGTTGCTGAGCTCGAATCATCCAGGATTATGATTGACATCCTGAAGTCTGCTATGTACGTCTCCTTTCTCGTATCACATTCGCAAGCCAGTCGATCTGACTTGAAAATAGGGCAGTCGATCCCGATATCGCAGGACGTTACTGGATATTCTGGTTTCACGCGTTCATGGCGATCCACAACTTTTCCGTCTCTGTAGTTCGATCTCCCCACAGCTCGCTTGCGCAGGCTGCTCTGGCACAAATCAGAGAAGGGGTGAATCTGTATGAGAGTGTAGGGAAAGGGTACAAGGCGTATAGTGATTTGGTGAGCTTTTCTTTTTGAACACGTTGAGTGATGGACTGCTGATGAGAGATAGCCGATTGTGAGACAGCTACTCACCCGTCAGTCATGGCTTTCTTCCTTTGATTCTATGCTAGCGAGCTGATTCAGCAGATAGGAGCGTCCGACGCCATCGCCTCTCCCAGTACCACTCATCCCCTTGACGCCCCTTTCCCCGCCGACTTACTCGGCGTCGGCACCACGCTCCGAAGAGCAAACGATCGACCCCTCCCGTCACTATCCACATCCACATCAAATACCCGATCTTTTCTGCCCGATTTAGTGACGTTCCCAACGACAATCGCTGATGCAATCGCTTATCAAAACAGTCTTCTTCCCACGCCCGCAGACCCCACTTTGGCATCGTCTTTATCTCGTCCTCTTGAGGCAAGCGGCGTAGCGGAAGGGTCGTCCCTTGGACATGAAGAGAACAGCGATTGGCCATCGTGGGGTGATGGTGACGGGAGTGGTTTTGGGGAGAATGAGGGTAGTTTGGAGTACGACTATGATGCGTGTTAGTCTTTTACACGTCCTAGAAGGAGTGTACGCTGACGACGTGACCAGTTTTGGCTAGTATAATCGGTGTTGATCCTATTTCGCTCGCTGGTTTGGTTCATGATGAGTAGTGTTCTTCCATATCCATGTCCAGAAAGATGCACTCATACGTATACATGCCGTAGAACAGTAAAGTGGTGGTATCGCATTCAACTACAGCACATGACGATCAAGACTAGCACCCCGTTCCATACAACAATAATCTCTCCCATACTTCATCGCTCGTACCGATACAAAGGCGACAAATCTCCCATCTCCTGCAGCTCCTCCGCTGTATACTTCTCATAAATCTCCTCTTCGCTCATCTTGTCTCTCTTGCCGTTGATGTGGCCGATAAGGAACCAGTATAAGATGGGGGTAACGATATTGCCGAGACCAAGGAAGGCGAGGGAGACGCCGAAGCCGGTGTGGTAGGCGGCTGTTGTTTGTGTCAGCACTCAAGAAAGCGGAGGCGGGGGATAGAAGAAGAGGTACGTACGAGATTCGTTAGCCAGATAGATATTAGACCCAACCAACCCGCCTAATTGCACCCAAACAACAGCGACACTAATCGCAACAGCTCTCTTTCCGGAGCCAGCAGCATTGAGACTTGTCCAGACACTGAACGCGGGGGAAAGACAGACTGATCCGCCTTGAGCCAGGCAGACACCAACATCTAAGAATCATCAGTAAGTTTGTTGAGAAGAGAGAGTCGGGGGACGTACAAGTCAGCGCAACAAGGTGTTTGTGGGTGACAGATAGGACGCAGATAAGGAGACCGATAAAGCCCATGATTGCGGGAAGGACAGTAGCCAAAGCCCTCATCTTATACTTGTCCGAGAACCCTATATCATCGTCAGCTATGCTTTCTATATCAACGCATCTACTCACATCCAGAAGCGACGACACAGAAAGTTGCAAAAACGTAAGGGGGCGCGGAGAGAGCTTGCGAATCGGCGGCGGTAAATCCCATGTTGTTCATGATGGTGGGGATAGTGAAGGAGAGGCCGTACACCCAGCATCCGACACAGAAGTAGCCGAAGGAGAGAATCCAGACGTGGATAGACTACATTATCGTTAAGGCTATGTCGTACAGGCAAGCTGTAACTCACGGTCAAGGCAGCGAGCACGTCCTTCTTGTTAAGGGTATCCGCGCTCCCACCCTTGTCTTTCCCATACGCAAACTTGTTTCTCAATACCAGAAACCTCCTCTCCTGATCGTCCAGCCATCCTCCTTGCTTCGCTGGAGTCTCTTGCAGCACAAAGTACGCCCCCACTGCCACGCACGTCGAGAATACACCTTCGATGATGTAGATGAACCGCCACCCACGATACCCCCAGGTATAGTCGAGCTGACCGATACCGTAAGCGAGTAGACCGGAGAAGGCTCCGGCAAGACAAGCACCACAGTAGAAGATGGTATGTCGGCTGTGGATTTGGTCGGGGGTATACCAGGTAGTGAGAACCCAAGCACAGCCGGGGTACATGCCGGCTTCGAAAAGACCCAGAACTGTGCAGAGAATCAGATCATGAATGCCTAAGGAGTGAGTGGACTGACGCAATCGTAGAGGGAACCATGAGGCGATACTCCCAGAGCAGCCGGAGCAGATGAGGATGAGCGAGACGCCCAACAGAACACCCGAGAGTACAATCTTTGGACCTAGTTTTTTCAAAAGAATGGAGCAGGGAGGACCCGCGAAAGCGTACGTGATGACTGCATCCAGGTCAGACCACGAGGGATGAAGCGGCGGGAGAATGTGACGTACAAAAGAGCGAAAGTCCAAGATTCCACATCTTCGAGTCCATTTTCATGTCTTGCATAGCGCCGAACAGTTTGGCATTTCCTACGTTGCCTCGGTCTGGTAACGCGCGAGCGTCAGCTAACATGGCTCTCAGAAGATAAGGGAGCACGTACCGATATAAGATAGGAGGTAGATGAACACAAGCTGAGGCAGCACATGCCAGTCGATCTTTTTCTACCATGTCATCAGTCGTCTGGTCTTTTTCTTCCGCGTTCCTCAAGAGATCAAAAGTGACACTAACCGTCAATTTCTTCAGAGCATCTCCTTGGTATAAGTCGGACAATGCCAAAAACTCAATATACTCGGGGTTCTCCTCTGCGACGACGATGTCCTTCTCGCGCGTTGTACTCAGGTCTTTCTCGTCTTCCAGAGCGGTGGTGATAGGGTGACGGTCGACAGTGCTCATACTGGCCAGGCTGAGACAATAGAGTGGCGTATCGGTGGTGTGTAGCTCCAGTGATGGTGTAATGTATGTATGTGAGGAAGCAATGGGGATGATATGCGGTACGGCCCCGATGAGCTGCTATTTGAGGAGTGATAGGATAGTCAGCTCCCTCTTCGCTGATAAGCATGTGTGGCGATAAGGTCAGGTGTTTCAATGGACTGAGTGATAACGACAGTATCCGGGGTAGTAGCCATCCCAAGAGTGTCTCTGGATATTGTGCCGAATCTCGAACCGGAAAAGCAAGAGCGGATGCGCTTATCAGCTGACGCTGGCATTTGCTCCGCAGATCGGATCATATGTCTGCGGACCATAACGGTCGTGCATATCATCAATCTTGCATGTGACTTGTCACACCGCTATCCGAATTATTGTATTCGCTACCCAATCCGCCCTGAGCGAGACACGGGGCAGCCGACGTCTGGCTCGTCTGGCCGAGATCATGTCGTCGCTCAGCTCCGAACATGCGGAGCAAATCCAATCTGCGCCATCATGCTACTTCTCCATTGGCTGGACCAAGCGTATCATCCCTTATCTATCATCACTTGCAAAGCTATGCCGAGGACCCGAAGCTCCGATGGCGATTTTGTAGCCGACGTGCGACAAGTCTGATTTGTTTTTTGATCATGAGACTGGTAGCTTGCGCTTCTTTATAGTCGTCTTTCCCAGTCCTCGCTTCACCCTTTTCCTTTCCATCACACAACAACACATTCGAGCTCCACAATGACTATCACCACCACCACCCCCGCTCGAAAGAAGATTACTATCCTCGGTTCTGGCGTCACCGGGCTGACCATCGCTATGGAGCTCTGCAAGTACGTCCATACTCACTCATCTAAGCCTCTCCCTTTGCGTAGCTAAACTCATCCCACCAGGGACTACGACGTCGAGATACTCGCCCGCGACATGCCCAACGATCCCGACTCTCTCGGCTGGTCTTCCCCGTGGGCGGGCGCTATCTGGTTCGGACTCGACGGCTCCAACGCTTGGGAACAGGCAATGCAGAGAGTGAGCTATAAGAAATTCATTGCTCTCGCCGAGAAGGAGCCCGAGTCGAGCATCGTGGTACGATCTTACTTGGACTATGCTATCATAAGACGTTTGCTGATGGCGACTTGAAGAAGACTGGCTTTTATGACTATCAGGATAAGTATGATAAGCCGGATGAGACGCACTTGTGGTACACCGACTTGCCGGGGGTATGTCATTAATCATAGCTAGAACACAAGAAGATACTGACAGGTCGCTAGTTCCGATACGTTACCGGCGACGAGGACAGGACCAAGAAAGGCATCACCATGTTCTGTAAGCTCCCTTTCTTTCAAACCTCCGTGACGCCTGACTAAACCTCTTGCGCAGACCAATCCATCGTTCTCAATCCTCACAAATACCTGCCCTACCTCCGCCAAAAGCTCGAATCCCAGAACGTGACCTTCACCCGACACCACTCTTCCTCCCTCTCTTCAACTCACGCCGCTCACCCCTCCGACCTGCTTATCAATGCTACCGGCAACGGCTCCAAATTCCTCATCGACGTCAATGACCAGAACTGCGAGATGGTGCGCGGGCAGGTGATGTTGGTCAAGTGTGACGCCAAGGACGTGCACATCAGGCATGGCGAACAATACACTTACGTGCTTCCCCGAGGGGATGGAACGGCAGTGTTGGGGGGCATCAAGGAGACTAGTCTAGAGCCAGCGCCGCAGGATTGGCTTCGTCGCGACGTAAGCGTCCCGTTGTCTAATATATGACAACTTGCTCAATACATTCACAGATACACAAACGCTGCCACGAGCTCCTCCCCGAACACATCCCCGCCTCCTTCTCCGACCTCGAAATCATCCGCGACCAAGTCGGTTTCCGTCCCCAGCGCAACGGCTCCGTGAGGCTCGAGGCCGAGCAGAAGAAAGGGTTCATGGTCGTGCATGCTTATGGTGCGTTTCATCTGTTGTCTTGTATTGTATTCACATCTCATCGAGAGAATACTTGAGGAAAAGCGCTGATACATCGTTTATTTACTAGGCGTCTCAGGAGGAGGGTTCGTGTATTCGTGGGGCGTGGCGGCTGAAGTAGCCAAGGTGGTCGAAACGACTCTGGCCGAGTAGAAGATACAAGGATGATTCGCGCATTCTCGAATTGTACTTGTAGAGCTATGAATAGATGTCTGGAATCCCCCGCGGTTATCCATGTCGAGCGAGGATCGAGCTAAGTAGTAGGGACAATACTCTTGCCACCCGATTCATCTAAATCCACTCTCATGGATGTACATTGTGATAAACGAGCAGGTCATGCTTTCACTCATGTCTTCAGAAGACATCCTCGTCGCTATCTTCGTCCTTATAATACCAATGGGTATCGGGCCTTTTATACCAATCGGTATCGCGCATCTTGAACCAATCGAAATCGAGCATATAATCTGGGTTGCCTCGAAGCATATCAAACGTGACCTCCCTCACAAGCACGTCTTCTGCCCATACTTCCATCTTTTGATGGTGAAAGTCGATGAAATATGCCCAATTGGCATCATAAATGTGAGACACTGTAAACACCTGGTCGGCAGACTTCTTTCCATGATGACAAGCAAATTCACTTTTCTCGAGAAGGTGACTCAGCTTTCCTTGCTGGATCAATCTCAAAGACTCCGCCCCCTGAGCACGGCACAATACGTCGTGCCAAGTCTTCCGGTACCGACTGTACCCGTACTCTTCGAAGTGTTTCAAATAAGTTTTTCGTCGCTCTTCCAGCTCCTCTGCCGCTTGAGCTTCTTCGCATTGAATAATCTTTCCGATCTTTTCCTTGTAACGTCCTCCAAGATGGTCTTTATATAACCATAGTTGCGGACCGACATGCGGAAATTCATATTTCCACTTTCCGTCGAATGCGAGGTAGCGCTCCTTGATCTCATCCGAGACAAGATCTCGATGGTTCTCTTCTTCAATCCACTAATACGAGCCTCGTTAGTCACAAAGCCTTAAACACATCAAGAATTCTCTCACTGTGATATTCTAACCAAATCAGCCATTTCGAGACATTGCTCGGGAGAAAGGCCGATGATGAACTGGGCAATCCAGTGGCCTTGCCTGTCAGGTTCCGACTCGAAATGATTGTAAGCGGCTTTGCGGTGCTTGTTGCGAAGGATGAATCCGATAATACCGCTGTATCCCATTGTGTTGTTGAGTATACGTAAGAGACAATGCTGGAAACAAAGCCCGGGGGACTTCCTTCCAGCTTCCCTCGGTGTCCCGGACTTCCAGCGGCGGCGGCGATCGCCTCCTCGGCTTCCCCTGCTTTCTGTTCGCATTCTATACTTTTTTCGCGACTTTCTTTTCCATCATTTCTCCATTCAGGTTATTGATCTCTCAACCATGGCTGGCTTCCAAGACCTCAAGAACGCCCGCCAATCGCGACACAAAACATCCTACGGCATCTCCAGCTCCACCCCAAAAGCCCCCATCTCTCCGCCCTCACAACATTCAGAAGAGACTCCACAAGATCCCATCGACGCTTCCGCTTCTACGCCTCCCCATCTCAAACCAACCTCCGAGTCAACAAGTTCATCTACAAAGACCGAGATACCAAAGATGGCGGAAGGAAAGAAGAGCGAGATATCAAGCTTGTACGCCGATGAGCTGAAGAATGCGAGTCTGGAGGTATGGGATATCCCCGGGCGGGGAAGAGGTCTTGTCGCTGGGAAAAAGTTCAAACCAGGTTCGTCCCCCTCCATCGCTCTCCCTCTCTTGGTCCTCCATCAAAAGGTAGTACTGATACAAAAAGAACAGGCTCCCGGTTCCTCAAAACGCCCACGGCAACCTCCGTACTCTCCACCCCGCACCTCACCACGACCTGCCACGGCTGCTTCCTCACCCCCTCCGAGAAAGTAATCATTCTAGCTTCTTCTGGAAAAGGTATCGACAGTACTGGCGCAAAAGTAAAATTGAATCGATGCAGCGGTTGTAAAACCCTGCATTACTGTTCACGCGTACGTCCCCTTCCCTATCTCTCCACCTCAGAAAGTAACCTGATGGACAAGATAGGAATGCCAACTAACAGACTGGCCCTCACACAAATCCGAATGCAAAGCCCTCTCCCGCCTACGCACCATGTACCACCTCACCTACCCCTCCCGCCAATCCGACCAGTCCGATGTCAGATGGGCCGGCGCCGACGCCATCCGCGCCCTGGGCCGTATATGCTGGACCCGAAGATCCAAACTCGTCGAGAGGGATGGAGGTGATTGGTGGACCCGCCTCGAGGGGATGGAGAGCCGTACGTCCCCTCTACCATCTACTTTGAGGAGTAAGGCTGATTTTGGGGGCAAGATGTCAAGCAGATGCAACCAGAAGGAGCTATGAAGCTCGGCAACCAAACCCAACATCTCGCACACTACCTCTCCGCCTCCGACCCTCTCCAACCCGACTCCGATCCTTCATTACTCGAACCCGCCGATATGCAGACGTACGGCTTCAAGTCTGTCGCTGAAGTCATGCACCTCTGTTCTGCCGTACGTCCTTCTCCCCTTGCTTTCCTTGAAGCCAGCTGATGGAAATGGGACAGATGAAAGTAAACGCCTTCACCCTAACATCCCCTTCCCTCACCCCTATCGGCATATCCATCTCCCCCCTCCTCGCGCTCGCCAACCATTCTTGCGCCCCCAACGCCGTCGCCGTCTTTCCCCGCGGCGGGCGCGAGATCGACTTGGTTGCTATTTCTGATATTGCCCCCGGTTTTGAGGTATGTCCCCTCTCTTTCAAGAAAGAAAAAGAGAGAAGCTGACCAGAAGGACAGGTAGTAACATCCTACATAGACGTTTCAACGCCGTACCACCAGCGCCAACCCGAATTGCTCGACCGCTACCGTTTCGCCTGCCATTGCTCTCTGTGTCAGCTCTCCGAACGCCGGGAAGGAGAAGGAGGAGGGGATGAAGAATGGGTGGACCCTCGGTGGTGTGTCTGGCACCCTGGGTGCGGGAAGAAAGGCATTGGGAGGATACCTCGTACGTCCCCTTCCATCTCCACCCTCTTCCTTCTTCTTTCGTCCATGTGTCGAGAAAATGCGGCTGATGTGCTTTTAGCGATAACGTCTACCGGCAAAGTCGGGACAAAGTGCAACAGCTGTGGGGGAAAGTTTGATGTCGATAATGACGCGCTGAAAGCGCTGATACAGCAGGGGCACGAGCTTTTGGAGAAGGAGGAGAATGGTACACTCGGTACGTCTCCTCCCCTCCTCCTCTCTCCCCTTCCCCTTTTCTCTCCCCTTATCTCTAACTTCCTACCAGACCCCTCCCCCGCTCTTCAAACCCTCTCCACCCTCCTTCCCCAGCTCCTCGCCCTCTCCCCACCATCATCCCACCCCCTCCTCGCCCTCCTCCACCTCTCAGCCCTCCTCCTTTCTCCCCCAAACTCCCCCGAGACGTTGGGGCTGGCAACCCAACACCTCGCCCTAGCATCTTCCGCCTCTTTCCTCTCCCTTCCCCCCAACCACCCCTCCACAGCAGTCACCTTGGCGAAATGGGGCAAACTCCTCTCCCTCGACCAAGTGCGCCTCCCCTCCGAAGGGTCCGAAGGCGCAGAGATGCTCGTCAAACGCCTCGAGATGGCAACGGCTGTCCTGAGGAAGGCGTTGACGGCCGCCGAGCTTGGTTTTGGAGCGGAGGGAGGGGTGGTGGGGTTGGAGATGGATGGTTTGGTTAAGGGGTGTGAAGGGGAGTTGGGCGTCTATAGAGCGAAGAAGAGGGGGTTGGTCTAGCTAGTCCTTCGAGTACGTATGGAGTTTCAACGGCGACGGCGCTATACAAGATGGTGCATGATCACATTGCTTCTACCTACATTCTTTCCTTTCATTCAGTCATGACTATACAACTCTCGCCCAGTACGTCGTGCGTATGTGTACAAGGGGTGTAGATCCATCTACTGGGTGTGGACTTGCTGGTCAAGCTCTGCCATAGAACCGCATCAGCGTTTCGACCCTCCACCCGTTTCGCCCTCCACCAGTCCATTTGAAAGGATCTGAAAGGAAGTGAAAAGAAGGAAGGAGGGATGATCGACTCACCGATGTGCTGCACGACATCATGCGATCCACCCCCGAAGCTAGACTCGAGCGACGAAAAGTCGTCCTTGGGGTACGACACCGTGATGAACGGGAAGACTGTACTTTGATTAGTGTTGCCTTTCCCTAACTGATATGGCATACTCTTAGAGTCGGCGTTCTCGTCAGAGACGATCTTGGCGCCTGGCGGGAGTGTCAGCATAGAACACGAGGTAGACATCGAGGCGGGCGCTGGGTGGTAAGAGGACGTACCCTTAGAGGTGAGCTCGGAGATGGCCTTCTTGCGGTCTTCAGAGGAAGAAGTCTTCTTGAACTGGACGATGACTAGACTGGGAGTCAGCCATACACGAGCGGGAGTAACGCGGCGGGTGGCAAAGACTGACCGGTGTGGTCGGCCATGGTGTTTACGTTTACTGCGAGCTGAGCTGTGGGTGCTGTGATGTACGCGTACGCTGCGAAGGATGCGGTGGCGAGGAATAACAATCCGAGGACTGATTTCAGGTTAATGTTCATATTCACGACTGTTTGCTGCATCCCTCTGGTGCGCGATGGCGTTTGTACCCGCGAGGTGGTGACGTCACGCTCCGGCCGCCTCCACCGGCGGGTCCCACCTCGGTCATCGCCTGGCCGCCGTAACAAGGTTGGAGATCCACTGGCACGCAGGCAGTACATACATATTCAAGGCGACCTAACCCCTAACCCCAAGTACGCAACATGCCGCCCAATCCCCCCCGCCGCCGCCTCAGCGCCCTCTCCACCCGCACCCCCACCCACATCCAAGACGCATTCATCGGCGTCGGCCTACGTCTCGGGCCCCAGCCACCCTACGACCCGGCCACGCAGGAGGACCCCGGCAGGGACCTCGAGCACTCGGCGGTGATACACGATGGCACCGGGGTGATTGAAAGCGAGACGTTCCATACAGTGTTCTATACAGAGGGGAAGGATGAGGCGGGGTTGGCGGAGGAGACGAAGAGGACGATGAGGGAGATGTTGGGGGTGTTGAGGGCGGTGCAGACGCAGAGAAAGATCAATGTGAGTAGATTCCGAGGAGCAGATGTTGGGGTGGGTGGGCGGCAAAGTGACCGGAGGGAGCGTACTTCCGGAGCGGAGCGACAGTCTTGAGGGGTGGGCCGACGGGGGAGGTGGAGACGACTATTCCAGGGCGGAGGGATCAATTCTACACCGTACTCCGGTCCGACTCCGCAACATGCTGACACCCACCGCAGATCCGGATGATCGCCCTCGCGGAGCCCGTGCCCTCGGAACTCCGATCCAAGAAAGGCGTCGAATTCTACCCCACGCTCTGGCTCCACCTCGACGCCATCCCTCTCTTGTCCAACCCGTCCACCTCTATATTCACCAAGCTGCCTGCGCCGAGCACCGTGGCGAGTGCTACTGCTGCTATCAGTGCTGGCGTCAAGCTGCTTCATCCTGCAAGTCCCTTTCTTATAAAGCTCAATCAAAAGCTGACGTTAGGTAGGCGACGCACTCTGCGACTACTGCCGGCGTGGACCCAACCGACCACCATGTCCAAGTGGACGCCGACGGCCAGATCAAACTCTGCTCCATCGTCCAATACCAAGAATCCTCTTCCGAGCCCGTACGTCCCCTTCTCCCTCCCCAGTACCTCATCCAACACCAGCATAGCTCTGGAAACGTTTCCTCGCCCTCTCCTCCCACCTCACCACCCACAACACCTCCATCGCCTTCTTCTCTGCCACCCCTCAAGGCGGCGGCGTCGCCCTCATGCGCCACGCGCTCATCCGTCTCTGGCGCATGGTAGGCCTCGACGTCAAGTGGTTTGTCCCCGAAGGCCACCCGACTGTATTCGACATCACCAAGACCAAGTTTCATAATGTCTTGCAGGGGGTAAGCCCGGAGGGAGTGGAGATTAATGGAGAGGACAAGAAGTGGTTTGAGCTTTGGACCGAGCAGAATTGTACGTCCTTCTTCCATCTCTTCTTCAACTGCTGATGATGGTATAGACGAGTCATTCTGGTCGAGCGGTGCCCTGGACGCAAGCGTCATCGTCATCGACGACCCCCAACGTACGCCCTCCCTCTCTTCCGTGTCCAACGATTGACATGCACATAGTCACCGCCCTGATTCCAATCATCCGCAAATACCGACCAGATGCCAAAATCATATTCCGCTCCCACATCCAGATCCAATCCAACCTCACCGACGACCCGTCCACCGTCCAAGCTAGGACATGGGACTATCTCTACAACTTTGTAAAAGACGTCGACTTGTTCCTCGCCGTACGTCCCCCTCCCTCCCTCCCCTTCTCCCATGTTAATGATGATTGGTAGCACCCGGTGAAATTCTTCGTACCCAAAAACGTACTCTCCAACCTCCCCGTTCTCTACATGGCACCCTCCACCGACCCCCTCGACGGGCTCAACAAACCCTTCGGCCGCGCTTCTGTCCGGTACTACCGCCAATACTTTAACGGCCTCAGCGAAGCCCAGTGCGGGGTCAAGATCGATTGGGATAGAGGATATGTCTGTCAAATTGCGAGATTTGATCCTTCCAAAGGTCCGCCCCCATTCCCCTCCCCCCTCCCCCCCTCCTTCCCCTTCATCTTTCCCAACGCTGACATTTCATAGGGATCGACGTTCTGCTCCAAGCCTACCTCGAATTCCGCCAGAAACTCGACCAATCCCCCAACCCACCCCTCGACGGCGGGCCCCAACTCATCATCATGGGCCACGGCTCCATCGACGATCCGGATGGGACGTGGATATACGAAAAGCTGCATGATACGCTCAACACGCCAGAGTATGAGCTTGTTCATGGGGACGTTGCTATCGTTCGTGCACCGCCTGTAAGTCTCCGGTGTCTCGAAAGGAAAGGAGAAGGGGAGAAAGGCTGATTTGGGAATAGAGCGATGCGTTGCTGGGATGTATTCTACAGGGTGCGTGGGTCGCTACCCAGCTCTCCACCCGCGAAGGTTTCGAAGTCAAAGTCACCGAAGTGGGCTTCCTCTTTCTTAATCCCAAGGCAGCAAGCTGATATGATGAAAAGGCGATCAACAAAGGCGTCCCAATCATCGCCTCGGACGCAGGCGGTATCCCCCTCCAAGTCAAACCCAACAAGAACGGCTGGATCGTACCCTCCGGCTCATCCGCCCCCGTCGCAGACACTTTGTTCAAGATATACACCGGCGAGCTCCGCGTCCACCGTGACATCTCCGCCTCTCCCCCCGACGACCACGGCAAGGGCGGAAACAGAGGACAAGACGGCAAGTCGGACCCAAACAGTATCGCCCAAGCCTGGGTCGGCAATTTCGACGAAGCGGCCAAAAAAGTGCATGATGATGATGGGGCGACGAGTGAAGATTTCTGGACGGTGGGGAATGCGGTGAGGTGGATGTTGCTCTTTGACCGCTTGCTCGGCTTGCCCTTGCCTGAACCTAAAGGTGAGGGAGAGGGCGAGGGGAGGGAGGTGTTGGAGAAGATGGGCGTTGGGAAGGGGTTGGTGAAGAAGGGCGAGGAGGGTGGGAATGTTTGGAAGATGGTTATGGGGGATGATATGGTGGAGGGAGAGGGAGAGCTTATCTAGGGTTTGTTTTGTGTATCTTCCATCTTGTACAGTCGGTAAAGGAAATATATGTTGGAAAGAAAAGAAGAATATGTAGAATTTGATTTAGAACCAGACAGATGCCACTTCTCAGTCTTGTCTTCCTCGTCTCGATTAGGATACTTTTACGATACCTCCCGCACTAGAGATCCAGAATATCCTCTACATTCTCCATCTCCCACTTCAGCCCACAATCACCCCTCTCCCCGGGCGCTTGCGTCTTGGGAGGAGGAATAATCTTTCGTTTGAGACGCAAGCAGACGATAGGCCGGGGGACCAAGGTGGCCATGTTCACTCGGACAGAGATGGGGGGTACATGGACGGGTTAATGGTGGGGCATCTGGACAGAAGGATGTTGACTGTTGAGATGGCTGTTGCAAAGTATAGTGAGTAAGTAGATCGCTCTGCTCTATGTCCCGATTCCTCCGCTGATTTCCCGATTTTCTATCGGGTTGGCAAGTTGGCGTGTTTTCCCGAGCATTTGCAACTGCTACAGAAATGTGGACGGTACTCATAATAGGCATAACGCAGCTGAGAAGAATGGTGATGTGACTGAAGCGATGTGCCTATTGGTCATCCACCTCCTTACATCAATGCGCCCGAGAAGTACCCCTCCAAAGTACCCCTTCAAGGGTCAATCTAGGTCCTCTCCGAAGGGCTATACGTACCAAATTTGGACATGACAGGTGTATACGGTCCGCTAATGTCCACAACATGTTACAACAAGCCCAAACCAGGTTTGAGCGAAATAAGACGGTCCCAGTATATCTGTTCTTGAAATGTTCAAGGTCGCGCAGAAGCTGTCTTAGGTTTTCTTCTCACAGCTTTCGCAAAGCATTCGCCAGACTGTGATTCATCTGGGACCAGACCAGCATCACAATACCTTAGTGATTCCCCCATCAGGCTTATGAATGCGCTACCATTGGACGATGGGAGATGCGGCGAGGTCGAGGATGTTACCGTTCGACCTATCATCGCTCGATCATGCACCACCGAACAGGACAGAGGCGGGGAACCTAGTGGAGTATGTGCTATAGAGGATTGGAGTGAATTATTTCTAGGCAAGAAGTGCGGGTGGGGTGAGAACGATGAATGATGGTCACGAGAGATGATATGGTCAAAGGATGGAGGGGAAGCTGTCATCGTGGGTGGGGTTCGTATATCATGTTGCTCTCAATCTCGTAATTGATCAGGTCCGGAAGCTGCCACATCTCAACCTACTGACGCATTCAGCCGAGTTCTGCAGTTCCTGAAATAGATCATGTAAGGAGAAGTACTCTATGTACCATCAGCACCCGGTCACTATACCGTGACTTCCAAGTATAGGACAAGGGATTGGCTGCATTTCAAATCGTAGTGAGTACTCGTACTGCATTGAACAGTCTCTTTTGTTCGAGGGTCGTTGCCATCCCGATCAATGATAATGGTATGAATCGGCCTGGGAATGGCATCGGAGATTCATCCTCTGCATACGCACTAGGATGGCAAAACAACGGCGGTCGAGCTATTTATATCTGTCTTCCATTGCCTTACCTACTGCGCGTCTCATCTCATCTCCATCGAGGATGCTATATAACTCCCTCCGGGGTCCCTCTTCCCGTGCAAATAACAAAACAAAACAAAAAAATACACAATGAGCACAGTTGATTCCTTCGACTACGAGCCACCTCCCGCCAATGATGACGAATTGACTTGGGATGAGCAGCAGCAGATCTGGCCCAAGCAGAAGAGCTTTACCTCAGTTGCTGACGCCGCGGCCACGGCTGCGAGCGACGACGCCAGCCGTCCTCCCAGAGAAGAGGCGAGCGGCGACAAGTCTCATGCCGGATCGATGCGCAGTATTGAAGGAGAGGAAACTGCTGAAAACTCTCGAGAGGATTTGACTCGCACCACTGCTGACGACGGAGGAGGTGAAGGTTCTTCTCAAGCGGGGTCAGCTCAAGCAGATAATCAGAGCAATACTTCTTCGTAAGCGTTATTTTCTAGCGTGGTGATCGGACGGGTAAAACCTTCGCCTTCACTTTCCATGGCTAACGTGATGTCATGTTACACAGGAAGAACAGCACAAAGAAACGCCGCAAAGGAAAGTTCTGGTTCTCAGGCCCTGGTAAAGCGAGTGAGTGCCATTGCTATCTCGAAAATGCCTGGCCCTCGTGGAATGATGCTGATTTCATTAGCTGGTCGTCGTATTAGTAAGCGATAGAGGATCTGTGTCGTGCTGTAGAGGAAATAGATGATGCATATTGTTGATTGAGGGTGTTGATCGGCGACTCATCCATGATGCAGTACAAACCATCAATTCACCCTTGCGGTGGTGTTGTCATCATGTCAATCCTCCGTAGTCGTCGGAACGACAACACGCGGAGCACAATACTGGTCAAATGACCACCGAATCGCACTTTGCGGTACAGTCTCAAGGACCTTCAAGCCCCCCGGACCAACAAGGACACATACACCACTAGACGGAATAATGCAAGGAGGGCCGGGAGCGGGACGGCAATAGTGCAAGCCCAGGGTCTGATTTACAATCACGACAAAAGGAAGTCAAGCTCAGTACCGATTGATATGAACAATAGCGTACAGTCATAGTGTAAAGGAGCCACAACGCTTCTACTTCCGATAAGCCTTCTTGCACCTTCGAGTTGTCGCTGCTATAGTGGTATCTCGTCCGAAGGGTCCACGACAAATAGTACATAGCCCCCACCACATTTCTCGAGTTTTGCCCTCAGGCTACAATGAACACAAACGTGCATGATTACGAACAGGAGCCTCCCGAGGGAGGAATGACTTGGGATGAGGAGCAGCAGCTTCGACCCAAGCAACAAAGCTACACCACGCCCGCCTCCCCACAGACTGCCGACACGACCACTGCCAGCAGCGACACACACAGTACTTCTAAAGAGGTCGCAGACGTTGACGATTCGCAAGAAGCGGGCTCGGACCACTCTCTTGAAGAGGGTGAAGTCGCTGATGAAGACTCTAAAGCGACGTCGGCTGGCACAGCCAAAGATAGGAGAGCCACCAAAGGGAGCTCTTCTCGGGCGGGATCTCCCCGTAGAGGCAGGCGTCCCAGGAGCCGCTACGCTTTTTCCCGCTACGCTCATTCTTCGTAAGTAACGTTATGGCGTTGTGTCGCACTTTGGTGGTAGATGCCCGTACCGCGTACCCGTCGTCTAACAGCAAGTCAACAGCACATACCGACCTGATCGAGACACAGCAGGGGGCTGGCCGTACAGTCAGACAGGAAGTGAGTTCCAATCCTTTCATGCAAAGACACTCCCTACCTCTTGCCACGGCTCGTAATACTCACATTCCTCTAGCTCGCCGTAGCAAGTGATATATATGTGCTGAACAGAAGAAGTGGTGTATGCTACTTGATGAGATAGGTCATGCAGATGAACGTTGAATGACGCCAACATGCTCCTCCCATCTATGCACTATCGATCTCACAGAACTACTTGATAACAGGCAAAGACCTCTATACAATGACGACAACTATAAACCAACCAAAGATACCCCAAGATAAGACCCGAATAAACACCTCCCCAATCCTACACTACACCCACCATCTACTCGCCGTCTATCGCTCGTACCTATACAACGGCGACAAGTCACCCATCTCTTGCAACTCCTCCACAGTCCACTTCGCATACACCTCTTCCTCCGACATCTTCTCTCTCTGCTTGTTGACATATCCGACGTAGAAGTAGTACAGCAAAGGGACGAGGATGTTGCCGAAGCCAACAAAGGCGAGACATGTACCGAAACCGGTGTGGTAGGCGGCTATTCGAGGTTGTCAATTTGTCTCTTTAGCAAAGGGGACGAGAATGTAGCACTTACGCGACTCTTTGGCCATAAAGATGTTACTTCCCGCCACACCCCCTATCTGGGCCCAAAGCACACTGATACTAATCGCGGCCGCCCTCTTTCCCGCACCAGCACTGTTCAACCCCGCCCACGCAGAGTATGCTGGCGTAAGACAGTAAGCACCACCGGCGGCTAAGCATACGCCGATGTCTTTCCAGAAAGTCAGCTGACAATCTTGGGAAGAGAGAGGAGGGTGAACGTACAAGTGAGAGCGACGAGGTGTTTGTGCGTAACTGTCAAGACGCAAATGAGGAGACCGGCGAAAGCGACCACGGAAGGAATGACAGTAGACAACGTCCTCTGCTGATACTTGTCCGAGTACCCTAATCCCCAATCAGTCTTTACGTTTCACCGGCAAACACACATGTACTCACAGCCGGAAGCGAGGACACAGAGAGACGCAAAAACGTAAGGAGGGGTTGACATCGCTTGAGACGTAGCAGCGGTGAAACCCATGTTGTTCATGATAGTAGGGAGGGTGAACGAGAGACCGTAGACAGCGACACCGACGGCGAGATAGGCAATGGACATGGCCCAGACGTGAATAGACTATCACCCATATCAGTATCTCGCCCGCAGAGGAAAGTTGAGAGGGAGGGATATACCTTGAGCGCTGCGATGACATCCTTCTTCTGGAGCTTGTCCGAGCTACCACTCTGGTCGCTACCGTAGGTGTATCTGTTCCTCAACACCAAGAACCTCCGCTCATTCTCTCCCAGCCATCCTCCCTGCTTAGCTGGGCTCTCCTGCAAGAAAAAATACGCCCCAATGCCAACAAACAAGGAGAAAACGCCTTCGATGATGTAAATGAACCTCCATCCTCTGTAGCCCCAAGTGTAGTCGAGCTGGCCGATACCGTATGCGAGAAGACCCGAGAAGGCGCCGGAGAGAGAGGCGCCGCAGTAGAAGATGGTGTGTCGGGAGTGGAGCTCGTGAGGGGTATACCAGGTGGTGAGGACGTAAGAGCAGCAGGGGTACATGCCGGCTTCAAAGAGACCGAGTACTAAGCCATAGGGTGAGTAAGGGTTCAGGGATGGATGGAGAGCATGGGAGCTTACAGAGTCGGAGAGGGAGCCAAGATGCGAGACTACCGGCACAGCCAGAGCAGACGAGAGTGATGGCCACGGTGATCAAGACGCCGGACAAGACAGGTCGTGGACCGAAGCGCTTGAGCAGCATGGTACAAGGCGGGTTACCGAGGGCATATGTGATGACTATATCTCGTCAGCATCTGAGGTGGAAAGAATAGACCAGGGAGACGCACAGAATAGAGAGAGCGAGAGATTCCACATCTCCGAGCTGAGGTTCATGTCCGTGAGAGCACCGAAAAGCTTGGCGTTACCGACATTACTTCTATCTATTACCCAGAGTCAGTAGTCATCATGGGGACGCGTGAAGAAGGTGCACTTACCGACATAAGACAGAAGATAGATGAAGACGAGCTGCGGCAGAACATGCCAATCTACTTTTCTCTACCCTCCGTATCAGCTGCAGTTCCTCGGCTCTAAGGCTGGAAAAAACTCACTGTGAGCTTCTTGAGGTTATCACCCTGGTAGACCTCAGCCAACGCAAGGTACTCTGCATACTCGGGATTTTCAACCTCCGCCACCGCCTTGTGTCCGACATCAGCGGTATCGTGCTTTTCCAGCTCGGCATCTCCATGGGAGAGAGATCTGTCGAGGTCGCTCATGTTGGGGAGATTTGTGAGGTGCGCATTACTCCCCCGACTAGAGATGTTTTATACATAGACGAGCGATTTTACTTGGGCGAGATAACGGTCAGCTGATAAGAAACAACAACTCGTCGACCCTGGATCTCTTCGGTCGCCGCGGCGTTCATACCTCCCACCTCACTATGAACTTTGGTTCCGTCGTTGCATTGCTGGGTGAGTGTGCTGCACCGATTGGACACCCATCCAATACCATTGCCCCGGCCACCCAGCGATCTGCGCTCAGGGATGCCGTAAACATCATGGAAATTCCTTCGGGTCCCGATGAACAATCCGACGAACAAAGAACCCCGAATAAGATCACTTTCCACCGAAATCCCGTGAAGACGACGACCGCGCATCACTTCCACATCGCATCCTCTTTAGCCTCTGGCCTCTTATCTATGCAACATCCACTGGAAGTCCCAAAGAGTGGAACATGTATCAGCAGCCCGTACTCGTACAGTACAGTATCCTGTGTGGCGCGCGCGCCACACTGCTTTCTTGCCACACTACTTAGAAGCTCGCATATTGTATCACTAAAGTCTTGATGTCCCTATTACGTACAAGCACATCCCATGATGATACCCACATTCCCTCCTTCTTTTCTTCGCAATACCCGAACCAACCCCGCCCATAAACCACTCATCGTTCATACCGATAAAACGGCGACAAATCCCCCATCTCCCTCAACTCCTCCTGCGTCCACTTCGCATAAATCTCCTTCTCACTCATCTTTCCCCTCTTGGCATTCGTATGCCCGATATACAAATAATACGCACACGGCACCAGGATATTGCCGAACCCTACTGCTGCGAGACAGACGCCAAAGCCTGTATGGTATCCCGCTGTATCTTCATCAGTTGCCTTCTCAAAAATGGCAGGGAAAGGGAAATTTACGCGCTTCTTTCCCCATAAAGATATTCGACCCCGCCACCCCTCCAATCTGCGCCCACAAAACCGAAAGACTGATGGCGATCGCCCTCTTGCCCGCTCCTGCACTGTTCAGACCGACCCAGGAAGCGTAAGCGGGGTTGAGGCAGTAGGCGCCGCCCGCTGCTAGGCATGTCCCGACGTCTGTTGGATCCATCAGCCTCTTGGATAGGAAAGAGGGTGAAGGGCAGTAGTAAAACGTACAAGTCAAAGCGGTAAGGTTTTTATGCGTAACCGTAAGCACACAGATAAGGAGCCCGATCCACGCCATGATAGCCGGTACGACAGCGACCAGCGTCCGCATCCTATACCTATCCGAGATCCCTATATTCCTATCAGTTTCTCAGCCTCAAAGGCAGAAAGTGGAGAACTCACAGCCAGATATGATGATACAAATCGTGGCAAAGACATACGGCGGCGCCGACACCGCCTGCGACTTGCCCCTCGAAAAGCCCATATCATTCATGATCGTCGGGAGCGTAAACGTCAAGCCGTACACCGATAGACAAGCCGCGAGATATGCCGTCGAGATAGCCCACACATGGATCGACTACATCGCCATCAGCACCTTCACACTTCGTGAGGGGAGGGAACGGAGACGTACTTTCAGAGCCGCGATGATATCCTTCTTCTTCATCTTATCGCTATTCCCACTAGCATCATGTCCATACGCATACCTATTCCTCAACACCAAAAACCGCCTATCTTCATCCCCCAACCATCCGCCCTGCTTCGCCGGGCTCTCTTGCAGCACAAAGTACGCCCCTACGCCCACGACGAAACTAAACACGCCCTCAATAACGTAAATCCACCTCCAACCCCTGTAGCCCCAAGTATAGTCCAACTGCCCGATACCGTACGCGAGCAAGCCGGAGAAAGCGCCAGAGAGGGAAGCGCCGCAGTAGAAGATTGTGTTGCGGGAGTGGAGCTCGGAGGGGGTGTACCAGGTTGTGAGGATGAAGATGGAACAGGGGTAGACGCCGGCTTCGAACAATCCTAGTACTTTGGAACGTCAGCTGGTGTCGCGTAGGGAGGGGACGTTAGAGCTTACAGAGACGGAGAGGCATCCAGGAGGCGATACTCCCAGCACATCCTGAGCAGACGAGAACGATAGCGACAGTGACGAGGATGCCTGACATGACTGGCCGAGGGCCGTACCGTTTGAGAAGCATCGTACATGGCGGGTTTCCAATAGCGTATGTGATGACTACACCCCCATCAGTATTTGTCCATACCCAATAGATGGCTGATTGACGTACAGAAGAGCGAAAGAGACAGGTTCCACATTTCGGAAGAGAGGTTCATGTCTTCGAGAGCGCCGAACAGTTTGGCATTACCGACATTGTTTCGATCTTAAACAACAAGTCAGCAGCCTATCCATATCCTCACAAGTCTGGGCGCTAACCGATATGCGTCAGAAGATAGATGAAAGCAAGCTGAGGCAGGACATGCCAATCGACCCGTTTCTAGGTGCCCATCAGCTCCACCTTCCGCCATCAATGCAAAAGTACTCACCGTCAAGTTCTTCAGCTTTTCCCCCTGATAGATCTCCGCCAGAGCAAGATACTCGACATATTCTGGATTCTCTTTTTCGACGATATGCTCTTCACCCTTGTCAGACCCCCCCTCGTTGGTAGTGTACACGGGCGAGAGCTGCTTCTCGACGGGATACTCTTCCCGCGACGAGGAGGATCTGTCTAGACCTGTCATCTTGACTCTCCTTTTTCGAAATGGTGGGGATAGGACAATCAGATGCCTTTTCTGGGAAAAATTCGAGATGAATACGGACCTGTCATCTGCTTGAGACAAGCGCCTGCACCGAGTCGGGAAAATAAATAATCAAGTGACCGCATTCGGGATTCGGCTAAACTCCGGCCGACATCCGGCATCCTCTTTGTTGGGTTCGCCCTGCAGAGATTGTCTCAACGAGGCAGTGTATGTACGTTGCTGGGTTCGTCCACCAGGACAGAGTCTGTCCGCGATAACTGACCATTCATTTGACGTCCCCTAAACGCCTCCAAGCATCCCGCTACAGTAAGCCCGGGAGCGCCGAGCTGCTCTACTCTCGTCGCGCAATCGTTCTATCGTTGCATACATCAACCTATGTATAGCCCATTGAGCTGCAGTGCGACAGAAGCATATACAATACACTACCTACAGTAGAGACAGCGGCTCGGTCAACAGGCAGAAACATTATTTCGCTGATAGATACGGAACATCAGAAAGTCCCCCTATTAAACTCCGTCGGACTCCTCCGCCGCTCTCGCTACGGCGGACTCGCGCTCTATGAATTTGATCTTTACGTCCAACGACCATTTCAGCCCATTCAGCATCATGCATCCACGTTCCATGACCCGCCGCCCTGCTGTTTCTCCCCTCACATCCCCCCGCCACTTCTTGGCCAGCCACACACACCCATGAAGTTGGAATATGAGGTTCAATGGAGTCCGATACTGAGTCTTCCCGCGGCGGCGACCCCACGACAGCCACCATCGAGCAACTCGAGAACACTGAAGACAATGGTGTATGGGTCACCTGAGACCCCACTATCAACACTCGCTTGTTTGCGGCCTACGATCAGAACGTACCCCCTCATACCGTCGTTCCATAATCGAGTCATTCGTTTGATACATCAAGAAAAAGTCATGCCGTATATTTCACCGCCCGCTTCTGTTGCAAAATCTCAAGCTCCTCCTCCCCACCACCAAAAACACATATCCCACACCTACCCCACAAGATATGCTTCCATCGGCAACACTTCCATCCTCTCGCAACAATCCAACACCCACTCCTGACTAATCGCCACTTTCCCCTCTTCGCCTCTCAATGCTTCCAATGCCGAGACATGTTCCGGGATTTGAGGGGCGGTAAGACGAGGGATGGGGAAGAGGTGGATTTGGGCGACGTGGGGGAGGGTTATTATACCGGCACCGAGAGTCTGGGATTATCATGAGCAGAAGGACATATGTGAATAGGGGAGGCTGGGACGCACTTTGATCATGATCTCGACAGCTCTGGAGGGTTCAACCATGAAGAACGTCAACGGCACCATCCCTCCGATGACAAACAAGCCCTCCCTTCTCGTACCGACTGTCCCACTACCCACACTACCCACAGCACTCCCCGTAGCCGTCCCAGCCCTCGAAGGCGGCCCATGCCCATTACCGAGAGCACCATTCAGCACAGGCAACGGCGCTGCCATGACCCCAGACAAAGCCTCACTCAATGGAGGTGCTGGACGACGTATATTGATGGGTGAACCGGCGGGCGGCAATGTAGCTCGGGGAAGATATGCAGAGTCTTGAGATGGGGATGGTTCTGTGCCGTTGATTCTGAGTCGAAGATCGAATGGTTTGGTTGGAGATGGATCGAGCGGTGGTCGGGGTTGGGTCATACTGGGCAGGTGGTGGTCGGGAGTGTCGAGAGCAAGCCTAGAAGGAGATGCGTTGCCGTTATTTTCGGCATGCAAACTACAGCTCGTCAGCTTGATCAACGCCGATTGTTGAGAACTAACTCTGGTTCTTCCTTCACCCGGATCCCTTCCTCCTCATTTCTCTCACTCCTGTCAAAGGACTCATCGACACCTTGCCCGTTTTGCCTTTCGCTCGGGTGATACTCGTCGTTCTGGTGTTCGCCTTCTGCGCCCGCATACGGCTCATTCGGTCGGCTAGCGAGATGAGGATCCCATGTTGCTCTATTCTGCATCAGTATCCAGTATCAGAGATGGGAACGACTCACTTGACTTCCCAACCCCCAAACCCTTCCTTCTCCCCAAGATACATCCCACTATCCCGACAAGCAGTCAACCACTCTTTCCTCACCACCCTCTTCCGCCATTTCACCTCGCCCTCTCTCAAATCCCCAACCACCTGCGCCAAATGCCTTATCGCATTCGACGTCGTCCAATTGTTGTACTCTTTGCAAACGTCAAAGGTGTCGGTATCGTCAGCTTGGACGAGGAGGCAGAGGTTGGTAGGCCAGTCGGGGTCGATGTTGACGACTACCACTTGTACACGGGTATGGAGAGCGTCGGCGATGGCTGTCCCTGCCATTGACTAATCATCGTCAGCGCACTGACAAGAGAACGAAGGACGACTCACTTTGACGGTACCGAGCAACACTGCGCGATTCTCCCTCAATTCCATAAGATCCGTCGTCAAGTACAGCCCCACCCCTCTCAACAACGGCCCCACAGACAAGTTGCCTTTACCACCAGTACTCCCCCGAGGCCGTATAGCATTCACACCACTCATCGGTCCATCCGGGTCAAACCCCGCCCCGCCCCTCCCTCCCTCCCTCTCCCGCTCCTGACCCCACGCATCCCTCTGCCAATCTCTCTCCCTCCCCCTATCTCGGTCACCACGCCTGCGACTCCTCCTATCGTCGTCGGGGTAATACGCAGCGTCTCCATCCCATTCTCGCTCCCTCTGCCTCCTGCTGCCTCCTCCCTTGCCTCCCCGGGGCGTGAGGTGTTCAGAGTATGCTCTTGAGCGTTCGCGGCTGTACATGCCGTGGCCTTGTTTTGATGTATAGCTGTTTTGGGCGGGGGTCGTCGATGAAGGAGGAGATGCACGCAACAAAATGAGGTTTCGGTGACGGACTTTTAGGGTGGAGGCGGTCATCGCCGCGCGCCATTGCACTCTGACATTTGTCGTTCAACTCGGCAAGCTCGAGCAGATTACCAGACATTCCTATTCATACACTTTGTTTATTTTTTGCAGACCCAAAGACCAAAAGAGTGGCTAGAAGATTGAGTGCGTGTGTATCTCGAGTAGGAGAAACAACTATCAACCTTCTTTGTTACTTTTATGTTGAAATTGAGAAAGAAACCCTTCTTCGACTTGTATATACCCCAGCAACACAAAAAAAATGAAATGAAATGAAAATGGAAAGAAGAGAAACAAAAAAGCCAATCTACGCCCAGCCATTCACCCCTCCCATCCACCCTTCCGGCCGCTTATCCCCAGCCACATACTCTCTCGGCGCTTCACCCATCGGCACCCTCCCCCCAGCCCCGGCCAAAAGCGGCTCATTCTCCTTCCCCTCCTTCCTTCTCCTCTCCTTCTCCGCCATCTCCGCCCTATCCTGCTGTTCCACCCACGCCATCGCCTCCCTCGCTTCCCTCTCCCTCTTTTCCCTCTGCCTCAGCTCATGCTCCCGCTCCCTCTCCCTCTGCCTTTCCATATCCATCATCCTCTCACGGTCCATCCGCGCAAGCTCGGCGGGGGAGGGTTCGGGGCCGTCGCGCTCGCCGCCGCGATCGCGCGCACGGGCCTCGTCGAGAGCTTTGGCTTCTTCGGCAGCTTGCTGGTCGATCAAGAGTTGGCGCGCGGCGAGTTCTTTGGCTTTGCGGGCTTTGGCTTTGCGGCCCGGTCTGCCTTCATCGGGTACACCAGGAATGACGGTCCACCAGCCGCCTTTACCGGCAGTATCATCGGGGATCCCATCAATCTTGTTCACCCTCACAAACATTTTCCTGTCATCCCATCAGCACCGAGCACACTTTAAAAGAGAAGAGAAAGAGACTTACTTGAGCGAAAGGTTGTGCCTAATACTATTTTGCCACCCCGCCGTCTTCTTCTCATCCAACGTCTTGAAGAACGGAAACCTTTCCGCAATACTCGCATAAATCTGATTCAACTGCAACCTCCTATCCGGCGCCTGCTCGATCGCATGCCGGATCATCTCGTGGTACGGATACGGCGGCTTGCAGTCAAACCCTGGGCGGTCGCCGTCGGTCGGTAGTTCGTTGAGTTTGCGGCTGGTGCGGGAGGGTGTCGCGGTGGAGGAAGAGGTGGGGTTGCCGTTGCCGTTGGCGGGGGCCGTGAGCGGACCGGGGAGGGCAGAGGACGAAGAAGAAGCAGAAGCGGGCGCAGCGAATGCCGTGTCGTTCAGCGGTACCACATAATCCACATTGTCCTCCACCTGCCTCAACCCATTCCCACTCCCCCTCTGACCATGCCCCATCCCATTCACAGGCGGCGGCGACATCGTCCCCCTCGCACTCAGCGCCCGGCGTGGAAAAGCCATCATCTCGCGCGCAGGCCCAGACCCACCTATAGTCCTTCGTCTCTTGTGCGCATTCGCGCTCGCGGTAGCGTTGGGAGGGAGGATAGTCGTCAAAGGAGAGCCTTCCACCGCTTCCGCCGCTGCCAACAGCCCATGCAGCTTATCCGACGAACTCGCCCTGCGCTGATGCCCCCCACTCCTCTCGGGCGAATCTGTCGCTACGCGCTTCTTGCCCTTTAGCAGCAGCCCATCTTCCACTGCAAGATCGGCAGAGTCGGGAGAAGCAGCGAGCGGCTCGCCGGGGAGAGACTTGGTACGGCTGCCGGGGGTCTTGCCTGTGAGGGTTGCGATTTCGGCAAACTCTTCCAGGACGGAGCGGGCAGGTGTGTCGGGGAGAGGTCGTTTGGAGCTCGAGATGGGCGAGACGAGCGTCGACTGCGTCGGGCTACGAGACTGTTTTGTGCCGTTGCCATTACTCATCCTCCCCCTCGGCTGACTCTGTCGAGCCGCCCCATTCGCCTCCTCCCTATGCCTCGCCTGATAACCCTCCTCCAGCTCATAGTCCTCCTCCACATCCCTCCCCGCCCACTTCAGCCCCCGCATACTCGGCGGCTCTGAATTGTTTTCCGCATAGTCCCACTGTGAATGCGGGAAAGCAGCGAGGACGGCTTTGTGGATTTCCGACACTTCTGGTGCTCGGGGGAAACGTTCAAGCAGCAAGTGACGGATGCCGTTGAGCGGCATCGGGGGTGTGATGGCGTTGTGCGGTGGGGGCGAGTGGATAAAGTTTGTTCGTAGCCTGCCACCAAGTCAGCTTTTTCAATGGAAAGAAAAGAAGGAGACGTACCAAGAAATAAGATCAATGCTGGCCCCATTCCGCAATACCATCTTTGGCTCAAAAGCAGGCGCCAAAGGCGAACTCGCCCTATGCCCCCTCCAACCGCCTTCCTCCTCCTGCACCTCATCCCCTTCTCCAAAAAGCTTCCTCTCCACCCCCGTCCCCGTCCCCGTCCTATCCCCCATCATCACTCCCCTTTCCGACGGCCCATACTCGCCCGGGCGGTACGGTGAGTACACCGAATACGTCCCCTGGGGCGCAGCCGTCCGGTGAGAATGGGAGGACGAATGCGAGTACGATCGGCTATGCGAATGCGCGTGCCCCTGGTTGGCGGGGTACCGGGAAGAAGTGTGGTGGGGGTCGAAAGAGGGGGGGTAGTGGAGCGAGTTGTGGTTGGCGTTGGGAGACATGGAGAGGGGCGTGGGGTAATATCGGGAGTGCGATGTTTTTCTCGGTGAGCGTGTTGGCGAGTGCTTTCCCCTTTCGTCAGTCTCCATCCCCCCACAGAAAAAGTAGAGGACGCACCAAAGTAGATGGAGTTGATATCTGGCTGACACCAGGCATACTCGTTTTTTTCGAGGGCTTTCGGGGCAAAACCCGGATTAGGTCCTACGTAACGGCTACGGGGGCAGGGAAAATCAGCGTCCGGGGCGGGGTAGTCGACGGTGGAGAGGCAAGATCGGGCACCGCATGGCTGGCGGGGGGTCATGAAAGGGCCATGGATGGTCGGATGGGAGCGTGGGATGGAAGAGCATAGGTATGACGGGCCCATCGCCCTTTTTCTCCCATAGACCCCCTAGATCCCGTCTACCCACCAACCAAGCGGGGCGCTCTGCCACCCGCCCTCACGTCCTGGGAGAAGTGTACTCACCGTCAAGCTACGAGAGAAGGACCGCGAGATGGTGCAGCAGCGAGCGAGCTATAGATATGTACTGTGTAGACAGAGATATGGGTACAAAGAAAGGGGTATTGCGGGGGGCTGTTCTGTTTAGCGATGCACCTGGCAATCCAGGGGGGTAGCTGGGGCGGTGAGGGGACAGGGGAGGATGGGGCTGAGAGGGGGGGGAGGGGAAATGGGGGATGAAAAAGATATGGGAGATAGGTTGTCTCAGCTGGGCAGCCTCAGGGATTGTTTACAACCCGAACAAATAACTGAAAATAACAAAAACACCAATGTCATCTATCCTTCTTCCCCAATCGCAGCCTTATCCGCTTCGCCTCTCCATGCATAGATACCACAGCTACATTCCCCAGATCCGCCTCTACCCAACCGTGCCATGCATGCATACCCCCACCCACGCCACTCCCCGGCGATGGTGGGTTCAATACTGCCACTAACGGAGTCAAATGTATCAGAGCCCTGGGTTGTCAATACAACAACGTCATCTCTCCCCACAGCCCAGCCTCCCCGGTATTCTTCGCCGGCTGAGATCATCTTTACGCAGCCCTAGAGCTTCTCGTAAAGGCCAGGCATCATGTCCCCTGGAATTTCGTAGAAGGGGGTCATACTGGCATAGGCGGTTCATGCTGGCAGATACATCCTGAATCGAGGCAAAACAGCGTTTCGCGGATTTGTTGTCGCCGAGCAAACCGATTGGCCTACGCTAAAAGTACACAGTACAATATCCGTTTGTTCCAGACTTTCAATCCTTGCACACTGCGGGAGGTACACTGTACTACACCGTACAGCAGATCATGAAAGCACGCTTTGGTTCCCGGGCGTCATCAGCCCTTTCCCATGTACCCATGCACGATGCATCGCCTAGGCGTGGTACATGACGGGAGCATGGGCGGATGGCGTACGCCGCAGGCGGCAGGCGGTACGTCTTACGTCTCTACTAAAAAACCGGGCCAAAGTTTGACACCAACGAAGGTCCAAGGGCCGAGAATTCCGATACTACTTTTGTCTTTTGATTCCAGCGAATCGTTGCATACGTCTGCATACGTCTTTGTAGGAAGTGTGGGTTCGGAAATGGGACAAGTTGGATGCATAGGATGCATAAGCTTGGCTCGTATTCTTCTTACACGATGTGCATGTTGTATGACATGGAATACATGATATGGATCGCCAAGCTCCCCGCCCCCCGCACGATACATCCGTAAGCGGCAAGATATCCGCCTCATCACGTTCCCCAGAACCCGAACCCGAACCCGGACCCACTCGACTTTTGCTGGTCATCTTGTCCATAGCAGAGACTTGGGCAGATACGCCCCAAGGGACGTCTTGGTGGTACAGAGTAGTGCGTGATACGATACAGCGCCGGACCGATGCGCGTCGAGAAAGAAGCCGACTCCGACTGCAACGAGGTGAGGAACGACTATCGACGTCGCCGCCTTCTTGTATGAGTTGGCATCGTTGTGATAGACCCACATGCAGTCATACGATAGACAGCTACAGTACGAAGATATCTCCATAGATGCATGGCATCCTCCTTCTCCCCCCCTGCTCGTCCTCGTCGTCATAGGGTAAAACATCGTTACGTCAGCACTTCCATCTGCGAACGCGTGTGATTTTGATTTTTCCTCCGCCGCAACGAACGCGACCTGCCTTGACCACCAACCGGCGGTGTGCAAGGACGGATGTGACCAGCCTCGGCGCTCTGTTACAGCTCAAGGTTGATGCTTGGAGCAGCGACTTCCGAGCATCACAATGAATAAACAGCCAGGAATATACCAGCACACGCTCTGCCATTTGGAGATCTCCATCATTCATCGCCGCTAGCGCCGATCAACAGCTGTCCTTCAGCGATATATATGAATACCTCGTCCTTCAGCGATATATATGAATACCTCGTCCTTTCTCTCTCTTTTACATGTAGGCTGGATATTCTTGTAGACCAAATCTTTGGGAGTGAATGTCGCCATGATTTTGCGGACGGGGGTGGGCGGAATGATAGCGGGGCGGAATGTGGAGATGTGACGACGGACAATGTGGCTGAAGGTCATAATGAGGTTGCTATGGTGATTTCAGGTCGACCAATCAAATCCAACATTTGCATCCATTCAAAATCAAAATAAGAACCAGACCTTTAGCACTGTTCACATCATGAACCCCCACGTCATCTCCTCAATCCAACCTCTTCGATCCCTCATCCAAATACCCCTCAACCGCATTTCCCCTCTCCAACCTCTCCTGCGAAATCACATAACTCTTTGGGAACCCTCCATCCCACTGCCCCTCGCCTTCTTTGGAAGAAATGATATAGTCGACGAGGTACTTTGTGACGAGGACTATGCGGCCCATGCCGTGGCCTGTTGCGACATCAGCTTACTATCCTCTAACGAGGAGATGGGGCAAATAGGGGAGGGGAAGGGGAGAAATGAGGGAGAACGTACCATGGAACCCAGCAGCGATATAAAGACCTTGACTATCCCCACCTGGCACCTGCTCCTTCGGCACCTGGCCGACGAGAGGAAGTGTGTCCTGCGTAGCACACATGATACCAGACCAGAACCTCATCCCGCCTTCCCCTGGCGCGGTCTCCTCCCACTCTTCAAAGTTGTTCTCGCAGTACTCGGCGAGCCCTACACCCCTGTCAGCTCCTATCGAGGGAGAGAAAGCGATGGAAAGGGACGTACATTTCTTTGCAGCCGGGTGCACAAAACTATCATCAACATTCCCGAAAACATCCTTCCTCTCCATCAACCCCTTCCCCAACGACGTCTTTTGATACAACCCATGCACAATCCCGGCATGCGGAGTGTTGATGAGGTACGTGCCGTTATCGGTGGTGTATGTATTGTCGAGGGCTTTGGAGCCAGAGTAGGATGGGGGAGGGGTGATATTGGCTGCTTGGCCTTGGAAGGGCGTTAGGCTGTATAGATCGTCAGCTGGGGATGAGAAGGGGGAGAAGGAGACGGACAATTTGTCGATATCAGACCCCTTGAACAAGTTGGGAGTGTGCGCATTCGTACACAAGATGACATTCTTCGCCTTCACCGTACCTCTCTCCTCACAATCCACAACCCAAAGCCCATCCTCCTTCGAGATCTTTTGAACAGGCGCCCAGGAGTAGAGCTCAGCGTTGGAAGTAGGAGAGGAGAGAGCGGCTTTGAGAAAAGCGGTCGTAAGCTTGTGCGGGTGGAGCGAGCCGGCGGGACCTTTGGAGAATCCTCGGGCG